TTGCAACGGTCCTTGAGTGTCCACATGTCGACATAATCAGGAACATGATGCTGCATGATTACCCAGATGGAGAATGCTCTGGTTTAGAGTCAGATGAAGAGCTAGTATGTTTATGGGATCCCTGGGAAACTACACCTGAAGTTTGTACCCCTGGTAAAATCCCACAGTAGACAATCCTTCCCTTCTCCAGGGCTGCTCAGAGAATCTTTGCTCATTCTCTTTCATAAAGCAGCAGCCTTCCCAGCTTGGATACCATCTCCCTGCTCAGCAGATGTGTATCAGAGCCGCATGAGAGCTGCCTGGCTTCAGAGCAAGCCAGCAGCCTGTGGAAAAGGCAAGAGTATGCATGGCCTGGGCCTTAGGGACCTTGACAAGAGCCGTAGGTCGCCAAGCACTTTGTGAGCAGTTTCAGGTTCATGTGATTGGATTCCACGACACCCACAGACTCACAGGAAAAAAACTGCAGATGCAAAGAAATATTATTGTGTGGGCCTATTCTACTGCAGAAAAGGAATAACTGCAGCTGAGGTGTAAACTGACTCTGTGCGAACATTTACTTTCCAAAAAAGACTAAAAAGAAAAATCAAAGCAATATAGGATTTCTTTCTAAATTTAAAGCAAGGATCCATGCAAGGGGTTTACTTTGTTTTGTTACTGATTTGCATTCCAATTAGGCAGAACAGACTTTAGAATAAAAGTGCAAAAGATACTCTGCACCATACTCACGTGCCATCCTGGAGCAAGTCCACATCACCTCATTCCAGATATACACGGACATACTTCATCCACAGGTGCACTTCTGCAGATTAGCACAAGCCACTCCCCGCAAAAGACCCAAAACTACAGACAGTACAAGATTTCAGAGTACCAAGGGGAGAAACAGCCAATGCAGAGGAGCTATTCTAGGCTATTTCTAGGCCCCACACAGCCCCAAGACCTAACGTTTTTTTAATCTATACCCAGCCCCTCCAGATTTATCCGGTTCATCACCAGGAAAAAACATCCATTTCAAATAACTCTGCCCCCACTACATAGCAAGCTTTGGTTCCTCTAGCTCTGTGGATTCTGAAAAACGAAGAAAAAGTAAAATACTGTTTCTTGACAAAAGAAGGAAAACATTAAACATAGTATGAGTTCACAACTTCTCTGTTCCAAATTGCCCAGTATAGTGAGCCCAGCACCAAGAGGAATTCCTTCAGAAGGAAAAGTAATTCCAAGTACTAGTTTTTACCCATCCAGTGACTCTGACACAGACACAGAGCTGTTGACATGTTTCTTTTAAAAACTACAAAACAGAAAAGGTACGTAGCTTCAAATTTTGAATTTGCCATTGCTAAATTTAAACCCGTCGGCCTTGTTACAGATTATTACATAAACCCAACCGCTTATCCCCCTGAACAATAGTTACTTTTGACCTAACTAGGCTTAAAGCACATTTCTTGGTCCCACTTTACGCTGACAGCCTAAAAGGAAGCAAATACCAAAGAAAAGAGGATTAAAGGAGATACAGAAATACTTGAGAACAGAGAATAGGAGGCTACAGATTTGCTGCTTCTCTGTACTATATTATTGTTTTGGTTTATTCTGAGATGGGTAAATCAGGTGAGGGATATCTGGTCACACAAGGGCATGGGCTCTATCTGCAAGCCACCTTCATAATAACTGCAGTGCTGCTGAGTACTGTTAGACAGGCTTAAAGAAAGCTCTCACTTGCCTCCATGTTCTTCCCACAACTCAAAAGAGGCACTAGACAGAGAAGCAAAGGCTCACAGCACCGCAGATTTATTTACAACAGACTACACACAGGCAGAGCAGTGAGTAACAGAAAATGAAAAACAAAGATAAACTCCTTTCCATGAAATGAAAACTATCCTCTCATGAACAGGCAAGGAGATAACTGAGGGAAAATAAAGAGGAGAATTCCAGAAATTCAGGTGATTATTTTTTTCTCTCTACACAGCTACTTTGGCGGCCCCAAGATGAACAGATTTGACATTCTCTACATAGCCCAGACATAGCAGACCCTGTAGCTGCTTCTACGTTGTTTCTTTCCCCCGGCATTAAATTAATCAGTAACAGTCAGAATCCATCTGGAGTTGGTTTAGGTTTATGTGCACTCAGATGCACTAATGTATTTTGACACAAACTAGTACTTTGTGGAATCATATTTTTTTCCTTTACATTCATCTATCAAACATGTCTCCTGTACTCAGGGAAGTATTACATTACAGTGCACTTTCAACCAATGTAGCGGTCAGGGGAGCATCACTGACCAAAGTCCATTCCTTTATTTTACCTGCAGATTTATTGTAAAGCGTTGAACAAATACATCCTCCAGATAGGTGCAACATTAGGATCTCAGTATTCCTTGAGCCAGGCCAAGCTGAAGCTAACACACACACAAATCCTAAGAAACTGGTGATAAACTCAGTTGTGGTGCAGTAACTTAATCAAGCCATTGTAAAAAGACGCATTTAGGGTTGATTGTTTTGTTTTGTTTTCAGTCTCCCATGTGCATTATAGATGCATTGCAAGAAGTACAGAACTGTGGATTGCGGTATGCCAAGGCCATAATGCCAGTGGGAAGCAGAAACACCTGATCCAAGCTATCAAAGGACAAAAATCCACCATCCTGGTTGGTCAAAAACCAGCTGCTCCCTGAAAACAGGTACCTGTGTACTGGCGTCTGGCAAAGCTATCTTGAATCACTGCTCAGCAAATCTCTAGTGCATACATGTGGCAGTGCTGAAATGACCTGACCTCTCATTTTTTACTTCTGTCCAACATTATGCAATCTTTTTGCTACTGCAGTAATGAGGGCAGCTCCCTTCCCACTTCCATCTTCAGAAAGCATGAAAGTCACATCACACTGAGGTGCCAGTTCCTTCACTGTTTCCCTCAGGACCCTAGAAAAACTGAAAGGAAAGGGAGAGAAGAACAGAACATTTTAGCAGTCGCTTTCTGGTCTGAGATCTTTGAATTTATATACTAGCAAGGAACCATAACCTCAGTCAACATCTTCTGCTGGTTCTCCACACCATCCCTTTCTGTTTGTTTTTCCTCCTACTCATGAAAGAGACAGGTTTCTGTACACAATTGGATTTTAATTTCTATTTCTCCACTTCAATTTTGTTCAGCATGACACCAGACACCCCCATTGCCTTTAGAGATAGTGGAGGAGGCTCTCTTCTCCCAACTCAAAGGCTAATGCATCTATTTCTAGGCCTTGCTCACAAAATATTGACCCAACTCCAAAAACTCAACACAGCTTTCCATCTGGGAAACCCAGATATCACAGAAATCCCCCAAAACATTGGAAAATAAGTATTAGAAGAGTAAGTTCACTCAACACCCCAGAGCAAAGAGCCTCCCAGTGGTAACGACTCAACTTCACCATTTTTGATCCTTTGGCTAGGCAAGGGAAAAGACAGGACGCAGGGAAATATGTTCAATCTTTATCACCTCTCTCACTTTTTATCTTGAAAGAAAGCTGGTACAGCTCAGTATGTTTTCACAGTGAAAATGAGCAAATAGCGAAGGAAGCGATACCAAGGTACTACTCACTGTGGATGGAGCTTGTACAAAGTCCCATCTACACCAACAGTGATTTGCAAGTGCTCCACACCTTGGTTTTCTCTCTTCTTCTCTACAATAGCTGCCAGCCCTGCCCCACAGAGCTGGGCAGCTCTTTCTGAAACAGCTCCACACACCTCTTTCACAATGATGCTGTCTTCACATGTGCTGTCCAGGCCCAGCTGCTGCAGAATTCGCCGGACTTGGAGGAGGGCGAGCCGGTCGCTGTGCAGAGGAAACACATGCAGCAGCAAGGCATTAGGGGAAGCTTGGCAGGCATGCAAATGAAAGATCTTACAGCTGAGACTCTGCCATGATTCGAAGGAAACAGGATCACTTCTCTAACTCTAACACTCTCCAATTATTTCAAGGCAGATTCGAGCCTGAATTCAGATTGAACACTTGCTCCTGGCATGCCCTTTGCAATGTTAGACTATATTTCTAGAAGGCACAAACAGTGGTTATCCACCTAACTCCCAAAGTCATGAGGGAGCTGAGCCAGATCCACCACATGTCTATGTTATTTTTGATCTCAAGGCTGAGACTCTACCTTCCAAGGTTTTCAACAGTAGAAAGGGTTTCAAACAGCCTGGAAGACCGTTGCAATCATGCACAGATATGTAGGTAAGCATTAAGCATATATTCATGGAGTAATCATGTATCACTGACTTTTTATTTTTTAAGTACTATTTTAAGTCCTACAAGAAACACTCCAAGTCTAATCATACTTGATGGTTAAGGCATCCAAGATAACACAGCTGTGGGGACAGGAAATGATAATTTCTATAATTACAGAATACTTCTGGAACTCGCCCAGTTCTTTGTTTTTGGCTTTTACTCTGGGGATGGTGGAGGGGAGGAGGTGCGCAAAGAAGAAAACTCTAATTGACTTCTTGAAGGAAAGGGCTCTACATGCTTACAGCAGACTATTTTCTAGAGGTCCCAGAAGACCTTAAGGATTTAAACCATGTAAATTAACAACTTTACCTCTCAATCTGAGACAGGAATTTTGTTTCAAATATGCCTCTCTTCCTGAGTGTTTCCGAAATCTGTCCTCTGAACAGCAGTCCTTGTTTGGTTAAGTCGATCAAAATTTGCCTTACTATTTCACCTAGGTACATTCCACTGGTCATTTTTTCATACCTGTTATGTTATAAAAGAAAAAAATGTGTTTAAAGAGATTGTGCATTAGCTCTATTTAACATGAGTTGTATGTACATGTCATATCAACTCTCAAAATAGCAGTAAAAGCTTGCAGAGCAACAGCCATTGAACTCTGTCTTTCAATCATCAAAATCTGTTTCAGTGACTTCAATTTCAAACGTTAATTGCAACATATTTACCTATGTTAAAAGGTAACAGAACTAGAAAAAAAACCCTGCAATATTAAACAGAACATAGTGTTAAAGCCAGAGTTCACACTGAAGCAGAACACTTCCCTGTCCCTCCCATGCATTCACCAATGAGTCATATGTAATCAATGCTGTCTTTAGCAAACAAAGAACGGTCAAGTTCAGTTTATCCTCTTGCACAAATTGTATTTTGCCTTTGAAAAAAAACACTCCAAGAGGAGGAACACAGCAAGCCCTACACTTTGCAAGGAAATCTTAAGAGCTGCACTGTTTGGTAACCGCCCTAAGGTGGAAACAGTGCTGTGGTAACAGAAACCACGTACATCTTTCTTTTTTTTTCCTGGATATTTGCATTACGTACCATGCAACAAATGAAATGTAATATTAAAATTTCCCTTCTGATTATTCATTCATTAAGAACATCCTAAAAAGCAGCAGCATGTCTCAAAGACTGACTTCATCAGGCTCTTAGCATCAAGACCATCACATTTACCTCTGTTTCCCTGGGTTTAGTGAGCCTTCATCTACTTCTTTATCATATTTTGTTCTGATATTGTCAATGCAGCCGTTGTCACCAAATCCTCCCCATTCTGTATTAATGCACATTTTTCCTTCATTCCCTTCCACTATTTCTATGTTTTTCATGTCCTCCATGTAGCACACATTGCTGCCCGTTCCTAGGAGGAGAGAAATGACAAGACTTCAGCCAGCTCACTACAAGCAAAGTAGCAGCTGAAACATGGAAGATGATTGCAGTGATGATCTTAAAAGCTCTCTTCTCCACATCTCAAATTTCAAAGATCTCTCCATATCTTACAAAAGCAAGTGCTAGCCAGTACTACTAAGAGTGCTGTAATTTATCACAACAGAATGTTACAAAGTAAAACGGGTCCTGCGCAGAAAATTTGCAGCATAGAGGAATGAAGACTCTGTTACAGGTCAGAAATGGCTTTAGCAGTCATTGGCAAGCACTGATCAGTCATTGCTGCCAGTCTGGTTGTAATGCACCACAAATCATCTTGCATGACAGTATGCTCCCAAAAGCAAACACTGCCAAGAGCCTAGCAGCCAGTCAAGCAGCTACCAAGTCTGAAATGATATGGTGAACAGGGCCTCATCACTTGCAACATGGGTTACATTAAGGAATACAATGACCAGTTCTCCAAAGAAAATTATATAGCTGGAGCTTCAGACCTTACGTGCTTAGATGTATTTCTGCACGAAAACTTGGAGGGACCTACTGGGGGAATCATCTAGAAAGCCCAAAAATAACTCATTCAGATTTAAAAAAAAAAATTTTATTGTCCCAAGGCCTATGACCTGGCTACACAGTAAATATCAATACACTTGTCAAAACAAGGAATCACGATCTGCTGTTCTCATATTCCTTTACCACGCATACACTTATTAGGCACTGTCAGAGACAGAATCAAAAGTCCAACAGGTTCAGGGTCCTGTCTGCTACAGGTGTTATTATGTTCTTTGTTCAATACCATACAAATCTGCCAAGAACCCCAAGTGACCAGTAACACCACATATCGAATAAAAAGATATTGTTTTACAAATTCCAAAATAGGGTGTGAAGCCTAGCACCTGCACACGTGCTTTTTTCTTATAGTGGTCACTTCAATATCGCTGTACCTGCAATAAGGCCAATCTCACAGTTTGGATCCTCATATCCGCATGTCATCATTGTCCCAACAGTGTCATTCACCACTGCCACAATGTCCAAATCAAACTCCTAAAAACACAAGCCACAATCAATAGGGGGGTCCCAGAGGAAGAGGGAGGGTTCATTAAATACACCAAAAAGAGCAGAAAACAATAGCTCACATTTCTTCTCCTGATGGCCTCTCTCAGCATATCAACAACATCTTCTCCTTCACAGTCTGTTGCCTTGAAACCTTTTGTCCATCCCACAAGCGTTCCCTGAAACAGAAGAGGAAGAAAATCATAAACGAAGATAGATAGAGGACTGTACATTCCAAGCATCGGTCTTTTCTTGTCTCCAACCCCCTGCCCCCCACCTCTTTATTTTTAATAATGTATTTGCCTGGACAGGTTACCCTGAGTATCTAGGGCAGAGTGTGTGCATGTGTATCTGTGTTCCTCAACTGCTGACGGTAGTGACTCCAGGCTCACTCAGCTATTTCTCAAGACATTGACAACTCAGTGCCTTCTAACACTCTCATTTGGAAAAGCTTCTCATCTCACCTCCTGCGCACATTGCCATTGCACTATCTGTCGGGGAAAGACTGCAAAAAACACTTTTGCTGTAAATAATTAAACACCAAACAAACATTAATGAACATCTACTGTTAATTTTCAGCTCATTTACTGAACGACACTTGGTATGATCCCACCACTCCAGGCAACACTAATTTGTTTCTTTTCCGACAGCGACCTGGCCTGACAGAAGTAGATTTCCAGATTACATGAAGTAATTAGCCTTCCACTTGCTAACTGCCTCTGGACTGTCTGTCCAAATAAGAAAGAGAGAAGGCAACTGGGAGAAAGAGCTGCTCTTAAAAAAACCCTTAAGTTCTAGCGACAATAAAAGACCAAACACACAGGGCAACATACTATGGGACTCTGACGCAGATGTGTCTCATTCAGTTTGCCCCCACTGGAATTTCTTTCCTCATCATTTGTCAAGATATAAATACCATGCTGTAGGTTTGGAAGGCACATTGAGCGGTGTCCTCACAAACAGCAAAGTCCTATTGCTATACTCTCAACTGTGATCTGAAAATTGAGACAGAGAAGACTAGCTTCTAGACCTAGAAACTACTGTGAAACCCACTAGGACATAAAAGCATTCCATAAAATGGCAGTCCCTCATTTCCCCAATATCCTACATCAAGCAGCACAAACTCCCACACCCCTCTTTGGAAATAATGGAGAATTATTTCTTCCTGAATTAGATTTTTTTATTCTGTTTTTTTCTTACATCAGATATGGAAAGATGAAGATGACCTGTCAAAAAGCCAACCCTTCCAAGCTGAACAAGCCCATCAACACTCAACAAAAAGAAACTAATGTGGTGCAGAAGTTATATAGTCAGAGCTGTGCAGCACAGTTAGGAAAACATCCTGGAATTGTAGCTGAGCAAGCAGAAGGAGGCATGTTATCCCTTGTCATTGAAGAGTTAAGGTAGTGTAAGAGATTCCTGGGCTATTAAAAATATGTAGTCATGTTGCTATCATAAAGGCTTAATCTTTATAGAATAAAAGCAAGTAACATCCATCTCTTATCAGATACAAGAGGTGAAAGTTCTACCTCGTATACACATATAGGATAACTTTCTCATGAAACACAACTAATTTGCACAGTAGAGTAACAAAATCCCCATAAAACAGGTGAACTATTATCTCCAAAGACTAATTTGCATGCATATATATACACACATACACATATATATTTTTTTTAAACCTTGTATAGTCCTACTTGGAAGAGAACATTTGAAAGAATAGCTTTTTGCATGTAGTCTCCAAACCAACAAGTCACCCTCACCCAAAATGATGTCATTTACCAAGCAGATGCACAGCTGCCATTTGAACCATTCTGTGTTGCAGTTCTTACCTTGTCAATGCTGGCTTGCCTGCATGGGAAGGAGAAGGTGAAGCCCAGAGGCAGCCGAGCACCTTTAATCCCCATATACTCCAGAAAGTCTGCTATGCACTGGACAATATGGTCAAACAGCTGGAAGGAAAGAAAAAGCATATAAATCTCATAGTAATCCCATGTAATGGGTCTTGGCTGGATCAGTTAAACATTCATTAGAGGTTACCTCTTCCCCCGTCCCTTGCATGATCTCCAAAGGAATGGCAAAGATTTTGTTATACATTTGCACCGATCTTCTTCTCCCACTTCTGATTTTGACCAGCAGAACCCTGAAATTCGTCCCACCAAGATCAAGGGCAAGAAACACTCCTTTCTCTGTAAGAGAAGAAAGGTATTTAATTTTGGTGCTTCTCGTAGCATGTTTGCCAGTCAGAATGGTATACTCTGCCACACATCCTCAAGAAACTCCATCTATGCCAATGACAGCACACTGCTCCCTGTGGCATTTACCCCATCAGTCTGCCAGCATGGAGCTGAAGGGACAGCCAGTAACATCGCAGGAAGCACCAGTTTGCCAACATAAATCACCCTGGCATTTGCAAGAACCATCTCCAGGTGATCAGGAAATTACTTCACCTGTTCCATCTGGTGTCCCACGGACATACGTGGGTAACATCTTCACTGTGGCACTGGCTTGTGTCTCTCGCTTTAGCCCGTATTCCAGCTCAGTCCTCATTTTTTTTTTGACTTCTCTGAGGGTCTCCAGGGACAGCAGAAATGGTGCAAGAGCAGCATCAATTTTCTTGCGTTGAGCGGCTAGCCTGTATGCCACCGCTGTGACCATGGCAGCCCCCTTCCCACTGCCGCTCACAGAGAGAAGGAACCGAACATCACAGTTTGGGACCAGCCTTCTCACCACCTTGTGCAGACGTTTGGCGTATCTACAGGAAAAGAGAGTTTCTTTAGACTCTCACAGGCATTTCATGCATGGTTTACTTCACATAAACTTCCAACACATGCACACATCCAACAGCACAAGTTGAGCGGAGCACAAGGTCAGAAACTGGTCTAGGAGATGGGTACAATGATCCTGATTTCTGGCTATTCTGCAGAACCTGTACGCCTAACAGGAATGTGAAGACACTTCTAAACAAGTGCCAGTGCCAAGGGAGAGGGACACTGGAGAAAAGCCAGGCAACAGTGGATAGCCACAATCACAGAGGGTGAGAGTCTCCATCCGGAATCAGACTTCCACCCAGTTTGGGAAAGCTTAGGTTCAAAATGGGGAGGGGGGAGAAAAGAAAAAAACCCACAGTGAACTGCAAGTGCCCTGGAGGCCCAGGAGTGACTTGAAGAATCAATTGCTCTTCCCCAGACACCATTATCCCATTGGTCACTCTGTTCCCACCCCACCCCAAGTTCTAAAGCTCCTGAGACAGCTTTGCAATAACTAAGCCTGTCTGATCTTCCACACTCCACCAGATCTCACCCCAACCCTGCAGCAAAACCAGCAGTTCTCTGAAAAGCCACACTCACATGCCAATGGAGATTCTTTGCAACATCAACATGTGGCCAGCAATTACTACTTACTGGGGGTGGGTTTTATAGAGTCCGCCGTCAATCCCAACAGTGGTTCTCATCCTTAACAGTTTTTTATTCTCTCTCAGTCGGGTCAGTATGGCTGCTAAGGCGGCAGCACAGAGGTTGGCTGAGCGGAAGGAAACGATAGTGCAGACGTGCTGAACAGCGATGCAGTCCTCTTCAGAGGGAAACAGGTTCAGCTCTGTAAGGATCTCTTTTGTATTGCTCAGACCTTCCTTATATCTACCCCAAAACAAAAGAATACATCATCTAATGCAAGGATATTCAGGCAACACATAAATCAATATCTGCATGTTGGCTCAAATACAAATGAGAAAAGACCAGGGCACAACCTATTAGGCAGCATCATAATTGGTTCCCACAAACCAGTAATCTCTTTCCTGCCCTGTTCCCAAAAGTACCTGGGGGAGAAACCAGCCTTTCAAGAGGCTGCTTCCTGGGGTTCAGTTTTTGGTGAGACATAGCAGTTAGCAAGAAAAGAACAGGATAAAATACCCAGTCCATAGAAGGAGAGCACAGGAATAGATGTACAGCTTCACTCAATACAAGAAAGCAAGCTATTCCTGGAGTAACAATAAGGACAAGGAGTCCTCTTCAAAACACCAGAATCTGTCAGTTTTCCATGTAGTCATCCATTAGCTGATCCAGAGTCTGTAGTATATTTTCACAACCCCAGTATTCCCACATCACAGAAGCTGAAAACCTCAATATCCCATGTACTCAGGTCTCCAAACAGGTTATTTAAACACAACCAGCATCTGATGGTTAATAATACATTTGCTACTGTGGTACTTTGCTAAAACTTTAACTTCCACCAACTCCTACTTACAGAAAGATCAACTCTTCTCCTAGGCAAAAGCAAAATCAAGTTGAACAGTTTAGTATTGTGTCCAGTACTCGCAGATTATAATTACACATTCACGATCATTGCTGTATTTGTGAAAGACTAACAGCCACTCTCAAACAGCGTATTGCAGGTTCTTACTTTTCCATTGCAGACACATGTTTCATTTCGATCTTGCCCTTAGTAAGCAGAGCTGTTGACACTTTCCCATTGAAAAGCAGACCTTCTTTTGTCATTTTTAGGAGAATGAGTCTTACAAGTTCCCCCAAATACAGGCTGCTGATCATCTTCTCAAACCTGGAATGGGGCACAGGAAGGATTACAGGTGTTCACCAGCTAGCCATAGCTATGAAGAGTTCAAGTATGAGCATCTTATGTTCTTATGCAGATTGATCACATTTAAGCATGTACAAGAGGGGTTTGGGAGCTGAGTTGTAGACAGGATGCCATCCTGAGGTCCAGGGACCCAGCAACAACCCCTCAAGACAAGTGAGTGATTAAAGAGAATTCAAAACACTTGCGAGCAGCCCAGCCAGTAGAAGCAGTTTTGATGAACCAGGATTTAAATATGCCCTTTGTTTACCTTCCTCCTCTCTTTACCCCTGCACACCATCATACCAGATCAACCACCTATTTTTAAGAACACATTAGCAACTGCAGCAGCAATCCCTTGGCCTGTGAGGCAGGGAAGTGTGAAAAGTATCCACCCTTCCCAGCAGGGAAAGGTCTGGATAGGACAGGACCAGGATCAAGTCAACTCAGATTCACTTAACTCGATCGCTGTTCCAAAGGGGCTCCTGGCGTAGGCTGGAAACGCACTCAGATAACTCAGACTGCCGAGGCATATCAACCAGGGAACCACTTACAATTGTTTTCCAGGATTGAGAGATCCCAGATCGAGCTCCCGATCAAACTCTGTGCGGAGGTCATCCAAAGCACCGTCATCTCCAAAGGCACCCCACTCTGTGTTAATGCACATCCTCCCTTCATCACCTTCCACCAGATCAATGTGCCTCATTTCCTCCATGTAGCATGCATTGGTGCCAGTCCCTGTGCGTGTTGGAGACAGTGTGGATAAATTACCTGCCTGTTACAGGTTTGCTTTTTGTTTGTTTTAAGTCCACATGTTTGGGAATAAGACAGTATATTGTCTTTGGAAGAAAACGTAAATACATAACCCTGTGGTACAGGATGCTAATATCAAGCCATCTGCACTTGTTAAATAATCATTTCACAGTGAGTGATAAAATTTTGGAAATTACTCTAAGGCTTGACTTGTTTAAAAACATTTTTTCTTTTTCAAATGTACTCTATGTGCCTTAAAAAAGCCACCACAGTGCATGAAGTAGAGACACTGTGGAAAGTGTAGTTGATGCTAACTACCAGACGTGAGAGGAATTCAGCTTTCTCTGGATGGACAGACAGCAATTTTCTATATAGTCAGCAGAAAAGTTCAGTATGCTCGTCACAACTGAACCCAGACAAAATGGGGACTGTGGCATTTGATGGCAATGTGATCAGCACAAAACCAGCTGCTTTACAAAAGGCAGCCAGGCTTGAAAATCTGATCATTGTTTTTTCCATTTTCTTCCTGCTCTTTCCTGTACTGGGACACTCCCTTCTACTCCGGATTTGTTAGCATTAAACAAATGAGGGGGGAAAAAAATTATCTAGTGAACAAAAAAAAATTACCAATTATAAGTCCAACTTCACAGTGCTGATCATCATATCCGCAAGTCATCATGGTTCCCACTGTGTCATTGACCAGTGCCAAAACATCAACGTCTATGTCCTAATAGCATAAAGATGGGCAATTAACAGAAAAAAAGCTTAGAAAACCTCCTGTGTGTTAAAGGAACAGCATGCAGACATACTCCCTGGGTTGTACTTTGAAGGCTTGGTCCAGGAAAGCACTTCAGTTGAAAGACATACTACTTCCTTTTATAACACTATGCCCACAACCCCATAAAGCAACAAACATCTCTGAATTCTCAAGTGCTTGGCCAGCCAGGATCTTTGCTTGGAGGATTTGTTTTTCTCCAATCCAACCTCATTTGCCAGAAAAGCAACGTGTTATTGGTTTGAATTTTGTGATACGCTGGCACTCGAGTATCTGTCCGTATGAGCTGCGTAACAGGACAATGTCCTATCGCCTCAGCAGATCCCACCAAATGGGACAGAAAACATACGTACGTAAATGCAGCTGTTCAACATAAGGCTGTGCACCAATATCACACTCAAGTAAAAAGCCTTTCCATCAAAGCTGTGCAGTTTTCCTTTCACACTGAGGTAACTCGATAAAGTAAAATCAATGTTATCAAAGGATTTTTGTAACTCAGATGCCAACACTAGCAGGGGGCCGGACTTGACGGAGTCTCAGGATCCTTTCTTCCTGCTATCTACAACAAGACTGATGCAGAAAAAAAAGTGAACCAAAATCAAGGTTGGATTTTTAGCATGTGAGAAAACAGAATCATTTCCTCTTTACGACAAAGATGTCAAGGCATGGAAAGATGCTTTGTATTTCTTAGATGGTGTTACCGATAGCGCCGAACATGAAAAACAAGGCTTTCCAAACTATTAAAACATGTTACTCGAAGCTACACACTGGTTCAAGAGCAGATTTAATCATGTCTCACTGCTGACCTTAAAAAGTACAATCAATCACTCCATCCCACAGATTGAAGTGAACGGGCAAGCCCTGGTAGAGTTAGGTGTGCCAATTTGAGATGATAGCTTCCCCCTGCCAACCTTCATCCCACAAGCCAGGCTATGAAGTACAGTGTGTATCCACATCTTACCAAATACCTCCACAACAGACTCCCTGTAGCTCAGACAGTGGGGCCATACTGGTCCACTGTCACGGCCAGCTCGATTTATCAGTGTGCAGTTGCCATCACTGTTAGACTGAGCGGGGGCAGGCTGAGTTGCAGCTGCACGCCCTCTTCCACGGCTTCAGCTCCAAGGGAGACATATCTCCTAGAGATACAGCCATGTTGGACATCTGTTACTGGCTGACCTTGAAGGACGTCTGACAACTCCCAAAACAACCCACACACCAAGAGCTGATCTCCCAGGAGGACAATCTGGGGCCACTCAGGGTTACCTCCTGCAGGTACAAAACTTGCCTTATGCTTCTGGAGAGCCTTGCGCAGAGAGCTGACCACATCTGTGTCCTGAACTCCTCGGACCTTGAAGTGTTTTGTCCAGGCAAGAAGAAACCCCTGCGAAGTAACAGCCCAGTGACCCAAAAGCTCCAAATTTGCATACAAACCTGTCGCAATGACAGCCAAGACCAAAGTCTGTGGAGAAGCCCACTGTGTGTCTCCACACATTAAAATGTGGGCCAAAATAAGTCACAGCAGAATACCTCACCTTGGGGTGCCTGTCAGCACAAACACAACTAAACAGGTACAGTCATAAAGTCCCAGTCCTGCAAATGCTTCTCCTTGTGCTTTCTTTAAAGCATGTGTAGCCTTACTGATGCTCATCACAAACTAATAGCATTAAGCACAAAGCATTTGCAGGACTGAGACCCAAAGCACAGATCCTTAGAAATAAAAGACAGGCTAGAATAAGAGGCCACAAAACAATTGCAACCAGCCCTTCATTTCCCCATGCAGCCTCTCAAACAGCTCAGCTACAGGCCTTTTCTATTTAGAATCAACTGTAAAAAAAAAAATTGAATGAGAGTAATCAAAAAAAGAAACATGCTTCAGGACACAGAAGTATATGGTTTACAGTCTAACAGTCTTCATACAAGGGCACATGGTTACTATGGAATTGGGTACTGATTAAGTAAAAGGACAGCTTTAGCTTAAAGATCATGTTGCCTTGAGATCAGAAATGAGTGTTTGAATAGCAGTCAAGTCTAGTTAAATGCTAATGGTCATCCATGCCTTCTTCAGAGAGCTATGTAAACACGACCCCACAAAAAGGCCACAGGGTAACACTCCCATGCAATAGCTTCTCCAGGTTCTGCAAAACGCTAGGCTTGCCAATAATATTTCTTTTTGCATCTTACCTCTTCCAATTTGGTCTGTTTGCATGGAAAAGAAAATGTAAAGCCAAGAGGTAACTTCTTATGCTTCAGGTTTTTGGTCTCCATGAAGTCTAACAGACAGTCAGCAATGTAATCAAAGAGCTGCATGAGAAAGGAGAGGACAGAGTCAGGCTGCGTCCAGCAGGCCTGCACTCAAGACAGCACCACCACAGAAGAACCCGAGTGCCCTACCTCAGCTCTGTTCCCCTGTATGACCTCCTTGGGTGTGGGGTAAAACTTGCTCTCCAGCTGGCTGCTCTGCTTCCCGTCATCAAACACCTTCACCTGGTGGGCACGAAACTGGGAGCCACCCAGATCAACAGCAAGGAAGTCACCCTTCTCTGCAACACAAGTGGGCAACCATCACCGGTGGTGGCTGAGGAGCATGGTCCAGATGCCATGCTGAAGGCCAGAGGCCAAGGCTCCTGCCCTGCTGTGGCCACAGGCTCTCCTGCCCCGTCACAGCAGGTCCTCATCCTATGGGCATGGGAGCATCACCAGGAAGACTGAGAGCTGGAAACCCTAAGCAAGCATATCAGGTCCCTCGTGTTAGCTTGTTATGTGGCAGCTAATTTCATTTTTATTTATCAGTCTGGGTTTGTCCACCCTGCTCTTTCCACAGCAGTATGTTTTCACGCTGCAGAGGGATAAGCTTCTCAGCAAGAGAGGCCCAAATCAACTGCGAAGCCAACCAGAGCACACAGGGTACACCTGTGCAAAACCATACACCTGAAATGTGGGGAAATGGGAATCCGACAGCACTATCTATGTCCAGTAAAGCATGCAGGATTTGCAGTCACATGTTAAGACTTGGCCCTACTGCAGAAGTCAACTTCCAAGTGGGGCAATACTAATTTGCCACCCAAAGTCAACCAACACAATCATTTCCAAATGCCTTTAGGAGTTTCTGGAAAAGTAACATTCTGTTTCTCAGTCCACAACACTCTTAGCTCAAACATGTTCTTCTCTCGCAGAAGACCTCAGATGGAAGGACAACTTGGCCTCACTGCTACAATAAAACAATTATCTATCCCACGTACAAGAAAAGGCCCTTCCCAAAGAGAAAATGCAGTGGTATGTGCATAGCCTTGCATGATCTTTGTTCCACAGTCCAAACACCTGACTAAATTCTATCAAGCCTGGCCCTGAAAGGGAAGGAAGCAGAAAATTCTACCTGTAATACCATGGTCAGATATCACAAAGGTGAGGAGGCAAACCGGATTACTCAGTAAACTGTGACATCAGTCAGACGATTAATCCCTAAATGATTAAAAACTGATGATGCTCCATATGGGTCATTTCAGGTAGCAACACTGAGGGCACTGAAAAATCTGAAGGTTTGTTTCTATCACAAATGGGAAAGTCCAGCCATGTTTGAGGTTGCTGGAAGTTTTGCCTGGAAACAAAATAACCAATAAGGATACCGCAAGAGAGCAAAAATAGAAAAATCAATGCAATACTTGAAATAGGCAGTGTGTCAGTAAGACATAGCCCAGCTTGACTCTACAGCATGTCCTTGACACAGTGGAAAGGTCACACAGGCCAGGACAGTATTGTCCAAAGTTGGCCTTGAGGAACATGAAGTCATGCAACACTGATGACGCTACATATGATTTCCCAAGTCTCCTGACCTCCGGGGCTCTCTGCTATTTCAGGACAGGGTCAGTGCCATGTGAGACCTCAGGACAGTGACAGTCACTGAGATAGCAAGCGTTAAGCTAGTATTTCTTTTTCTTTGATGAAGGCAGTGGCAAAAGGAAGAATGCCCAGTTCTAGCCAGGCAGTCTGAGGGGATTGTACACAATTTCTGTCAGACATCCTCCATTTCAAGGGACTAGCCTCCAAATGTTCACTTTATGCCATTAAAGTCACTATTTCTCATTTAACTGTACGAAAACTACCTTCAGAAGGAATAAAGTCCTATGGAAATGATGTACAAAGCAAACATTTCTCTTTTCTGCACAGCTTTATAGACTGAGTCCTGACCTAGGCCAGACACTTAGTCCTGCACAAATTCATAGTTGTGGTTAAACCTGGGAAAAATGTACTTTTCTGTCAGCCTGCACCGCCGGGAGCCGGCTGAGCTAGAAGAGTTATTTTGGATGTGTGTACTTCTCTGAACAGGACAAGCTTTTAGACCCTACCTCACCTCACATCCTCTCAGAGGACACCACTGCACTTTCTCCCTCTCTTTGTTCAAGTCTCAGGGGCAACTGGAAACAAGGATCCAGCTGCAGAAGCAGAGCAGACTATTTCCTGGTAGACCCCACCCAGAAGCAGATTTTCCCAACGCAGGAGAGGCAAGGAAGAGCAGGAGAGGATCACTTTTTGGGGCCACAGAGAAAGTAGCGCAGAGTTTGCTGTCAGAAGCTGAGAGGAGATCACAGCTCCAAGAACCCAACGTTGCTGCCACTTTGCAATGTGAGGGGTTTCACTGCAGCATCCTGCCTTCCCTGTAGCTCCATGAACGCGAGCGCCACAGCATTGCTCACATCCCCACACCTGCAGCACCCTGCACTGCAGGGTCTGAGCTGTAGAGGTTGCCCTTGCAATGTCCAGCCACAGCTCCTGCAGTAAGGCCTGCACTAGGTACCACATTTGCAGTCCTTTCCTCAAACAAGCAGCACTAGGTCAAAATCCACCAGGTGCAGGGAAAAAACCCTCTGCCAGCACTCCCCCAAGTTGTTGTCTCCTCAATACACACCTGCTTTCTCAACATGAGATAGGCAGTAACTGGAAGCCACTGGCTGCCCTGTGTCTTTGCTGTGCTGTCCTTGAGTACTGGCAGCAACCCATCATCTTCCTAAACCAGCACTGCTGTGATGGAGCAGGGGGAACTCACCTGAGCCATCGGGAAGCGAGCGTACAAACGATGGCAGCATTTTTACTGTTGCCGTGGGGTTTGTGTCTCTCCCCAGGCCCTTCACCATCTCGACCTGGAAGCGAGCCATCACGTCCAGCAAGACATCGTCGGAGAGACGCAAGTGATACAGGAACCTGTCAACCTGCAAAGATGAAAGGTGTTATGCAGGAGCCGTGCAAGCTCCTCAGTGCCCAGCAGCTGTCTGGGGTGAGCACTGCTTTCACGCTACAGAAGGACTCTCCCATGTGTACTAGGGAGGCTTCCTTTATCTCTGCAAGCAGAGAAAATGCAGGAACTTCCTAGCCCCTTGCACCAGTTTTCTGGCTATGAAGGGTGCAGTTTGGCATGAAGGATCTGAAAATCCTGAACTCCAACTCCAGCAGCGCCCCTGCATTATGCTGGACAAGAATTACTATGCTCATTCCCACCTACTTGATGGACATGACGCTAAACAGATCCTAAGGAGACAAAATAATTCCTTTCACATGTAACAAACTGAAGGTGAGCCTACCACCTATGCAAACGCCACCTGATTCTACAAGTTAGCTTTATTTTTTACCTCAGCAACTAAATTCCCATTATCATCAGTGCAAGCAAGCTCCAGGACATCATCAGAACATTCACTCCTATAAAAACTTTGCTTTGAAAATGTTTAATGCAGCCTTAGCGAATTACTGTCAAAAAGTTAGCCATCTTTTCTGATGGCTCAGTAACTTGCCAACATACATAAGCCCATGAGACTTGCCTGAGACCATGACAAGCTGCTTTTACACCACTCTCTCCTCCTGTACATGTAATGAACTAGAACTGCAAAGTATCTCGACCTGGTGAGAATTTAACCTCTCTGAGTCAGGTCCAGAAAATGCCATCAGTACCCAAGCATGTCAGCCACAACCTGAAAACATCTATTCAGCTACCGCTTCACTTCACAGACAATTAGCTTTGTTGGCATGCCAGGCTGGAGCTCAAAGCCTTTTCTCATTCCAGCTCTGCCCTCCATTCGCTTGTGATTCTAGGATTACATCTAAAACACATTTTTGGGTGCAACCAATATCCTTTCTTAAGAGTCTATAACTTGCAGCATACATCAAAATAAAAGCCAGTTGAATTTAAAGGGAATCAAAAGTATCTATGAAGTAGCAGACACACATTCAGATAAACTGGTAGAGAAGCTAATTAGTGTTTCTGTACAGTTTCATCAGGCAAAACTTAAGGTTTTCTTCTTCAGGATCACAGACTGCTTGGACTAACATTTACCTGCAGAGCTAGATACACAGTTGTAAGGTGGCTTAGAGACTACATAGCTGGGAACAACAAAGGATTAATGCAGTAAAGTAAGAATCTGTCGACATTCAAATGCTTTTCCACTGGAGAGCCAGACTTTGGTGCTGTATGAACAAACACGATGCAGGCATAATAATTTTGTGCTCCAAACAGCTGGATGGCTCCGGAGGATAATTCCTGTTAACATCCTGCTCCCCACTACATGAGTCTCAGGGCCAGAGGTGGGACAGCTTCCAACAGTTCACTAGTACAGACACTCAGCTTTTGCACCATGGGGTACATTATTACACTGTTTTATCTGTTCAGAACATTTCACCAGTTAGGAGGTCTGGAGGGTTGGAAGAACAGGCACAAAACAAGTCCCACTGGCAACAAGGTAGGACTTAAAAGGTAGCATTGTTTAAACAGAGGAGAATGCAGGCTGTAGATAAACTGGCCTGTTCTGCAATTTGGACTGGCCACCTATATTAATGAGGCACAAACTAATTACCTATTCACAGTCCCATTTTAAACGGATGGTCAGCAACGACCCACCTGAAAGAGCCAGGACCCTGAAAGTAAGTCCAGCTCTTACCTAGCAGCAAAACATACACACACAGAGGAGAAAGTCTTAAACTACAAGATGCAATTGGCAGTGAGCAGCAGCTGCCTTTGGATACAGCTGTGCCTTGAAAAGGCCATTATTTAGATCTTCCTTTGTAGCCCTCATTTGCACAAGACTTAATTTTCTCCAAGGCTTTTCTGAGGCCCCATCAGTGTGTAGGATATACCATCCCAGCCCAAACACCAGCACTACTTTTTTGGGAATACCAAAAAAAGAAAAAGAAAATACAGTAACTGGAGACACAGAGCACTCACACACTCACCGAAATAACGTTGTGACAGAAGTCCCTGTGGAAAAAAAAACTAAACAGTAATAAAAATTACCATTGCTAGCCCCCTGCTCCCCATAGAAAGTGCATTTTTTGCACTTTGTTTACCTACAACCACAGAAGGAGACAGTCCTCTCTGAGAAACTAGATAAGGCAGAGCCCAGAAAAGCCTGCTGACTCTCTAGCCTGATTTACAACTAGAGCAAGGGCCTGCTCACATACCATTTGCTTGTAAATGCAGGAATGGCCAGGCCATGCAACACCAAACTCTGTCTCGCTGCCTCCCTCCCACCACACAAGGACAGTCCTTGTTTTTAGGTGCCTTGCCTCAGTTATGGAGACAGCACTCTTTTCATGGCAGGGAGGCTCCTGTTCTTTCCACCAGACTGCAAATAAGCCTGAGGATGGAAAGGCAGGAAGGCATTCCTTCTTTCAAATTAAGGAGAAATCAACTCTGCTCCATACAGCATAACCTGGGCTTCTTAAAAGAGAACTCCAAAGGGCACATGGTTTCTTGCCTTCAGACAGGGCTAGTTTGCACCTAGCAGAAAGACTCGATTTTTTTAAATGGCTTTGCCAGAATCCCTCTGCCCCCTTCCTCTCCACTGTCCTCACTTCAGGGAAGCCCTCCCTCAACTACACCCTGGATGTTGCTCTGAAGAGCCCACTCCACCCAAGCACTGCTCCACAAGGTTTCCCCCTTAAGTAAAAAGTAAGAAGAAATAGTGCTGTCTAGGTGAGAGACTTTAGATCAGATCTCACACAAGGAAAGGGCATTGGGGCCCCCTTCAGATCATATTAAACCCTGGGGATAAAAGGGCTGTGACTGAGACAGAGACATCTGACTGTTGAGATACCAGGACCTCTCTTGGAATGCTTCTCTTCAAGGCAGAATTAGTGGAAGAAGCCCCCCTAAGAACACGCCACACCTTCTTTAAGCAAGGGCACAGAGAAGGCAACCCAGTGTTGCTCGCTTTGCTGATGAGCTCAGCGGTGCAGGCAGATTTACCCTCCAAGACCTCGGCTATCCCGCACTGCCACGCGTCTGCAGTCAGCCCCGCGTCTGCAGTCAGCCCCGCCTCCAGCTGGCTGGAAAACAAGAGGACAGAACCTGGCAGCAATGGCCAGAGGAAAGCGCTCAATGGAGACGCCAGGAGAACAGAGGACCTGCAGGGGACATGTCTAGAAATCACAGGACCTCTGACCCAAGAAGTTTACGGGTCCCACATCATCTTATAACGGCAAGCCAAAAACTTATTACAGTGTGGCCACAAAAGTGGATTAGGGAAGAGCAACCATTAGGCAGCTCACACCCAGTACTGATGGCTTCAGATCTGGGATATCTAGAGCTTTTCCAACTGTAATTAAAGGTCACATCTATAAACATCAGAGTGACCAGCCAGGTTTGGACAACCAGAGAGGAGGCACATGCACTCCTCTCACACCAATGCTAGTTGGAACTACCTCCTGAGTCCCAGAGGACCTGGCCCAAAGACCTCAGGGGTCTTCCCTACCCCTGCTATAATGTGAGTAACTGATTCCTACTCAGCTTTAGAAATCCCACCCTTCACACTACACTTGCAAAACGACTCAGCAGAGGTTCCTTTCTGCCCTCTGAACTACACCACACCATGTCAGATAAAGTTTAAGCACCACTTTTGCTTACTGAAGATAATTTGCTCCATTACTGGACTAGAACTTACAACTGTGCAGGGAAAAGCACTGACCAGGACTATTTTCACACTTGTCAGATGGTTTAGGGTCCAAATAATTCTTACCCCATTTGGCTGTATGGCTTTAGCAGACAACGCTATTATCTAGTCTGCATTACGTACTGCAGACCCCACAGTATCTGAGTAACACAGTTCTCAAAATAGGAATCAGCTAATGCTGCATCTTACCTTTTTTATTTGATCCTCTTTTAGCTTTGTGAAATGGAAAGCTAGCAAGTGGACGGCAAACATTTTCTTGAAGCGGATGGATGCGTCAATAGTGACAGAGCTGCTGTGAGTAACTCCAAAGCGATAGGTCAGGTTATTTGCGAAGCTGGAGCTAGAGAAACTTCAGCTGAGGCATTTCCCCCAGGGTGAGATAGTGGAGTTCCTGGGAAATTGAGTCCAGAAATAAATCCATCCAGTGTGATCGGTTCAATGATTAAACTTCTGTCTCTTTGTATCACCCCCCCACATCAACCCAAAGTCCCTCCCTCCCCAGCTACTCACTTCATTGTGCCAGAGCAGCCACCTGGAGAGCTGCCAAGCTGAAGGGGAGAAAAATCGATTTTGTTACTGCCCCACTTGGGAATTGTTACCACTTTGCAATGTAGTTGCTACGCAGCCTGCCCTGCTTCACCCTGCTTCCTTCCTGGGGGGCTGACAAGCTCCCACCAGCACAGCATGCAACAAAGTGCTGCAGGGAATCTGGAAAGTTAGAGAGGATTTTAGGAGGTTTCTTCCCTCTGCTCAGCACTCCCACTTGCGAGACAAGCTCTTCTGCATGAATTAACTCTGCTCTAGTTCCACACAGTGCACCCTTATCTGCGGCTTTTTTCCAATTAAGCTTCAGCCGTGTAAAGGAGCAAAGAGACACACAGACCCCTGCCCCCAGCTGAAATACTTCTTGCGCAATTTCCAGCAGAGAGGTTTTGTACGGATTATTCTCCCTTCACCCCTCCTGAAGACAAAGTATCAGACCAATACAGATCCTTGGTATTGCAAAACCTGGGGCGGGGACAGATTTACCTGGCAGCCAACAGTGTTGATATCAGACTGCCTCACTTGATAAATGCCTTTAACTGGCAGCATGGAGTGCCTATAGCACGAGTGGCTTTCTTACACCATCACAGCTGAATTTGACACTGCCTTTAACTATTACTCTCAGAAGTTCATTCTGAATGCACAAGTGTTTCCAGGATTTTGTCACTGTATAAAGTCATACGAACTACGGAAAAATCATCCAAAGGAAACTGTGAAACATTGACTCAAAGGAGACAAACAAACAAACAAGGCATTCTCATGGGGTAATACTAGAGGCTCACTCTCGAACGGCACCTGTACTTGGTGTGTTTCCCCCCAGTTACAGTTCAGTATTTCAGCTGGAACCAAGCACACTTACTGCACTGGCAGACGATTGCCACCCAAAATCTTGCAGAACAAGGTTACAATTAAAAATTATTTTGATAAATTAGAAAAACAGCCTTGGGGCAGGGGGGGAAGAGGGAGGTGGAAGGGGAGGGACAGTGCCAAGTAATAGGAGGAAACACAAAGAACCACGGAGCAGAAGCAGGAAATTGTCTGCACAGATCCAGAGCAGGGCAGAAGCAGTCAGTTAGCAGAAAAGGATCTCAGGCTGTATCAATTCATAGCGTAAAGCAGACCCAACAATCTCATGCTGTTGTCAAAAAAGTACGATTGATCATCATGCTGGGCTGTATGAACAGGAGTATTATCCACAGACACACTAAACAACACTCAGCTCTATACTCGGGACCGGTCTCAGGAAGAGGACTCTGCTCAGTCCTGGCAGGTACAGCACGTCAAGAAGGCATGGATCAGAATGAGACAGCTCTGCTGAACATCAGGAGAAGTCACAGGTTACATTTTTTCAGTCTCTGATCACAAGGAAAGACTGAAAGAGCTGAGGGAAGGGAAGGGAACTCCCTCTGCAGAGACAAATTACACAGAACCTCTGCTACGAAAGGTTGAGGTCTTTTTTTTTTTTTTTTTTTTTTCCCCTCCTGCCTTGCATCAGGGATGAGCTCTGAACACTGGGAGATCCTGCCAGCTCTATTTATTTTCCACTATTCTAGAACAAGAGTAAAACAGACAGAGTGGCTAAACAGTCCATAAATAGGGCTTGTTCTAAAATTAGGCCTTTGATCTTCAAGAGAAAGGGAGAAAAGAGAAGAAAAAAGCCACGCTACCAGCCAGAAAGCACGGTTCACTTCTCCTGTATTCATGTTTTAATAACTGCTGGCTCGTTAAGTCAGACACTGACTCCCAGAGGGACTGTCTCTTTCCTCATTGTTTACCCATGCCATCCGAGTCACAACCCCTCTGGCCAGCAAAACTGAAAACATCACCTTTCAAGCTCCATCCCACTTTGATCCAGAGCTCATTGTGTCTGTAATACAGCAGATTTATTTTTCATTCTCTCTTTTCTTTCTTTCTCTAACGGATGCCACTGGAAAAGGGTCTCAAAGATCTAAACATTACTAAATTGGCAGCAAGCTCTGTGAAATACCTGACATGTCAGAATCACTGCGTAACTTGTTCGCTCATCCCTTGTGCATCCTAGCTTCAGGCAGGCTGTTGTGCAAGAAAAGACAAGACATTATCTCATTTCCACGCAGACAGCAGCTCAATGTGCTAGGGGCCCAATACCCAAATATATTACAGCCATTTTGTATGTATTCTGGCCAGTACAGGGGAAACAATCCAGGACCAAGTGAACAGACCAGCTCCAATTGCATGCAGCCTGGAGGCTTGAGGCTACGTTGGGTTTTCCCTTTGTTAGAGCTGCACCCAATAAAAGTTAGTCACAAACCCTCCCTTCCCCCTTTTCAAGGGCCAATGAGACTTAAAAGTTATAATACCCCTCTCCCTACTTTCTTTTTCCTGCAGTTCTTCTTCCAAACCCTGTCTCAAGGCACAATGGAGAATCCTGAAGAGCCTCCCAACAGTCTTGCAGCCAAAGGTCTTCAGAGAAGAGGAACTCACAGCTACAATGGGGAAATTCAGATAAATGTCTGAGTACAACAGCTAAACACGCACTAGTTACCTCCAGAAAGAGGTATCATATTAATAACCATTTTATTGCTGGAGAATTACATCTATCTTTGGTGAGGTATCAGAGGCAGTGGCAACACTGGTTGCTGAGTTTGGCACCCAGGTTAACAAGGAGGCATTGAACAAGGCTACAGGTGAGTCATCAGAAGAAATCCTTCTTCATTATAGCTTATGCTTCCAAGACCAACCCTTAGAACACGTTTCTCCTCACAGCAGCAGGTTTGCTCCCCACTATATTCCCACAAGTTCGTCAAAACTCAGAACAGAAAAAGGTCCCCAGATTCATCCTGCATATGACCCTCCTAGGGCAATATCAGGCTGCAAAATAAGGCAGAACACTTGAGGGGACTGACTGGAGAACCCACTCCAAGGACAGGCACTCTTTAGAAGAGCTGGAGACAGCACAGACAGAAAAGACTACATCGGCTTAAAAGAAGGCTTTTTCCAAGTAGTGCTGTAACAACCAGCATTTTACATTTGAAGCACAACAAATAAACACCAAAAAAAAAAAAAAATCACAGTGAAATCAATGAACTTCCAAACATCTATAACTTGAATGCCTGCAATTAATCTGGAAATCTAAACACCCGAAATAAAGTTTTGCAAATGTTATTCCCAGATCAAGTGAACAATGTTGTTCATGTTGTTAAAGAAAAGGTTTTGGCACAGCCCCATGAAGAAGAGCAAGAGGCCACTCCATCCCCCCCCGGGGCCTTCTCACACAGGGCACGTTAAAAATGTGCAGCTCGCATAGCTTTGCACCACACGAGTCCAGATTGTACCACATGGGACCAATTTGGCAGCCATTCTAATGGGAATCAATGACAGCCACACCATTAGCTCTGAAGAAAACTTTCATAAAAAGTCAGCCTGGAAACGCCTGAATAAACTTCAGAGCTCTTAAAACAGTTACTATGGAGTCACTATGGAAACAAGGAATGAGTTAAGCCAAGTGCTAATCTCAGCAAAATACAAAAAAGAATGCTTATAGTCCTTTAGCTTCCTTATTGCAAGGCTTGCTGCTCAAACACAAGGGTGGCTTATACCTCGAAGTCCCAGCCACTATTTCCTTGCTCAAAAATATACACTAGTAAGCAGCTTAGCGTACAATTAAAGGATAGATTTATCAAAGCAGACTAGAAGCAAAGTACAGTAGCAGTGTGGCTCTCCTGAAATCCAACCCCACACACATTGGGGGACAGAAAACAGAGAAGTCGACCTTGCACCAGTGTGGTTTTAAACAGTGGTTTGCAGATTTAGCAAGGAGTTTGCAGTCCAAGAGGTAAGTGGGCAAATGCATGCTGCAGGCTTGAGCAACTACAACTTCCCTTCAAGTCTGTCAAGTGCAAAGGACACAAGGAGGCAATTGATACCACTCAATCACGTAATCCACATCACACCAGTTATTTGAATAGTATTGAATGGAATCCATTTGTAAGGGCTAATTGCAAGCTCCCAGGCTGTGCAAGCCATGTTGCCGTTAAGCAGAGGCTCTCGGGAGTCTGGGAAAGCAAAGCAGAATTACTCATGCGCAAAGCAGAAAATTCATGACATTCACATGGCCATTGCCACACATACATAGCTGCTTGTTTTTTCTTGGGGGAGGAAAGAAAAGATGGGGCTTTGCAGGGGAAGGGCCTAAAACTTTCCTTCCCCACCAGTCTGGTACTGAAATCAGCAGATCATGTGGACTATAAACAGTTATGCACTGCTTGCTTTTTAGTAAATAAAAAAAAAAAACATGAAATACATTGAAAGCAGCTGTTAAAAATATTATTCAAACTGATTGCAGACTTGTTTCTGAACAGCAGCTTAAAGGACTGATACTAGGGGGAAGCAACAGGGATCCAGAGCAAACTTTCAACCTGTGGTTGATCATTTTATAAAGTCAGGTGTTTGATACAGTGAAATTCAACCTGGCTTTTACAAGTATCTCAACATTAATACAAGAAAGATCTGCAGACTTCTATAAAGCCAATCCCAGAACTATGGCTGCTGCAGCATTATTCTCCTCAGCCAGTCCCAGCAACATGTCCCAGCGCTGAAACTCAGCCCTGTGAATACACAGCAGTTTCAGCATCTGATTCTTTCCACTCTCCAGTATCCCTACTGGGAGGTCAAAAGCATACCTTAAAGCTGCTCACACTGAAAACAAATGACAGAGCATGTGCATGTGTATAAAAGAGGCATACCCTGGTGGTGCGCTGCCTTAAACATTACTCAGTGACACCACATCAGGAAAAAAAAAGTCCTTTTCCCTGAGAACTTAGTTCCAACCAATTAAACCTTCCTCCAAGTGGTAAGCACCTAACTAACTTTTCCAGTTTGTGATAGCCACGATAAAACAGGCATGTGGAAATACTACTGGCACAAATACCAAGCCACAAGCTGTAACTTAAACTATAAGCTGTTATGTGAACTTAACTAAAATATTTTGTCTCCTCTCAAAATTCAGGTATCACAAACAAACTGGCATGTGAAGCAAAAAAACATTTATGAAATGCAACAGAACAAAATAATTCGTATGCAACTGAATTAGAAAGGTTATGGAGAAACAGACATCTGAATTTCTCAAAACTAAATAAATTATACCTATGCCTCTATAACATCTCCTCCTTCCCCTCAAAAATCATAATCCAACATTTGCCCCTCCCAAAATTTGCCTGAATCAGTGTGACGAGCTTTTCCTAGGAGAAAGAATACACTTTAAAGGACAGATTTTGCTTTGTTTCAGTAATTACCCCTCAGATGACAGAACTGGAATTTACTCAAAAACTCTTGTGGCCAGAATTTCATCATTCCCCAATGCATTAACACAAATGCTTTTCAGCTTCTTCCACATTTTCTCAGGACACAAAGGTTAGAGGCACATGACTCCTTTCACCATTCTGACCCAATTTCCTGCCAGGTTGTTCATTACTTGTTCATTATCTGTTAAACTCTGCCCTTTGGAAAGGGACAGAATGAGTAGCTAATTCATTACTAGTGAAATATCTGATGTTTATTAATGATGTGAGGATACTTTGCAAGAAGACATCAAGTTCAAATTTTCACATAGCAATAGATCATACACTTAGGCTGAACACCATGATCAAAAAAGTGTACAGCTGACTCGTAAAAACAAACTTATGGCCTCTGAGTCCATATCTCTAATGGTTCATGTAACTGGTCACAGGAGAAGGAAAAACATCAAGAGGCTGCGACAGTGTAAACATGAAATGCCAAAGAAGTTATTAAAATAGTATTTTATTTTATGAATAAAAACTAAACAGAATTAGGACATGGCTCTATTTTTTCTTTCTCCCCGTTGCTTTTGCACTATTCTGATCATCTCTTTTTGAACCAAGGCCGTATCTACCATTCCTGTGCTGATCCTGCCACTCACTCTGCAGCTGTCTCAGCATGTCTTGTGTTAGAAGTCCTTCACGCAGCAATCTGTTGGCAAGAGATCCACGTCCATGGCTTTTCAGATCCTCCTGCTTTGCAGCAGACCGATAGGCTTTCAAGTTCTTCCCTCTTCTTTCTCCTGGAACCTCCACTGCAATAGAGAGTGCCTCTTTGGATTTTGCACCGTGATGGTCTGAAACCGCCCTGGTAACCCTCATAGTCCTTGAAAGAGGAAAGTCTTCTGACACAACTTCCACTGTGCTAGAAGCAGCTGCAGATTGTGAAGCTCGGATCAGCTTCGTGATGTTGCAGACACCGACTTGTATAATGTCATCTAGTTTCTTCTGAATATCCCTTACAAGGACAGCATCAGGGAACATATCCATGAAGCGGTAACTGAAGAGAGGCAAAACAACACAGAGTTAAGCCTTTTCTCTGAAGGAGTGCTGACTGGGACAAAAATGAGATACCTACTATGTAAAGTTAAAAAAAAAGAAAAAAAAAAATTACATGTTGCATGGGATGGCCACTGTATTTTAAGTGGCACTTCAGCTGCTCCAGTCCCTTACTTCTAACCTTGTTTCTAACTTTCTGTCAGTCACAAACTGTTCTCTGCAGAACCCATGACTTGCTCCCACAACATAGCTACATTTGCATTTGTCAAGATCCTCTAAAGGTTCAAAGGAGCCCATAGTGCACCACATACACACGGGCTTGAAGACGTTGCTTTTCTAGGACTGTAAGTCACAGAATAGTTTGGGTTGGAAGGGACCTTTAAAGGCCATCTAGCCTAACCCCCAAGCAGAGACAACTTTAGCCACATCAGGTTGCTCAGAGCCCCATCCAACCTCTCCTTGAATGTGCACTCAATCCCACCATCTATGTCATTGATGAAGATATTAAAGAGCACTGGTCCCGGTACTGACCCCTGAAGGATGCCTCTTGTCACTGATCTCCATCTGGACATCAAGCCGTTGACCTCTACCCTCTAGATGTGACCACCCAACCAATTCCTCATCCACTGAACAGTCCACCCATCAAATCCACCTGTCTCCAATTTAGAGAGAAAGATTGTGGGGGATCAGGTCAAAATCCTTACAGAAGTCCAGATATCCATAGCTCACAAATACTAGGAAAAAATAAAATAATTTTCAAGCACAAAAACAATACCTTAGCCACAGATAGAGGTCAAAAACATCATGAACAGCTTCAAGGTGTACAAGTTCTTTGATGTTCTTTGGAGCAGCTAACGGCCATTTGGTGTGCCGACAGAGCCAATCAAACGTCAGAGGCTCATTTCTACTGAACTGTCTCGCAAACTGAAAAACAAGCAGATTCAGTGATGTCCTCAGCTTTAGTCATGAAGGAAGAAATCCCAAATGAGTTAAATTCCCTTGAGTCTGTATACACAGAATACTCCAAAAAATACCTGCTTTGTTTTACACAGCCCAAATGCCACACATTCTTTTACTTAATTACTCAACACAGTAGTCACCTTTCCTTTCCAGGGCCTCATTATCACAATTTGTCCATGGGCCATGCACACAGTTAAGCAACAAAAGTATAGAGCTATCCAGAAAAGCATTGCATTGAAGGCATGTGATTTTATCTAGCTAAGCAGATGGACTTTGTCTTTTTTTTCTTCTCCTGCTCCTATTTTGTCAATTACCTTGTTTCAGAATCTCCAAATGTGTTCCTTGACTTAGGAAACACGCTATTCACAACCCGAACGGATTAAACTGCATTAGACATCAGCCCTTCTGAAACCTAGGCATCTCAGCTCTTTTACTAACAAATAAACAAGCCAAATAAGATATGAAATTATCTGGCTGATACCAGAAGTGTTTTTTTTTTTTTTTGCCAAGGAATGGGGCTTAAATTCACATGGGCATTCACAACAGCCTACCTCCCTCCAACGTTACATTATGCCCCTATGTACCTCCATTACTTGGGATGTGAATGCTCAGCATTTTCTTAATAAGATAGATTTCTTTTTTCAACTCTTTAAATCAATCACTCAGTTTTTGAAGAACATTATTAGCCATTTCTGAAAAGCGCAGGTCTAGTATCTGTGACGTGAGGGCACCACATCAGTTTCTTTATACACTAGTTTATTAAAAATGCTTAACGCAGTCTCTAAAAGGGGACAAAGGTGATACTGTCTAACAAAGTAACAGCCCCAAACAAAGTTATTAATCCTGAAAAACTGAAATCAGCTGACTAAAAATTCCTCAAAATAATCACTCCAGGGGCACAGTGGAAAACAATTCATCCAGGCTAGAAAAGTGAAATGACGTAATTCTGAGAGCAACTTACAGCACTGTATTTTCTGGGGGTTTAATTCTATGCAACTGTATTAGAACATCAGCAATTACACTTAATCCCACATTCTTTTCTTTTGTTGACAAGCTAATACCTTGAAGCAGCAGTATCTCTGTTTTTAAGGACTACTTTTAGACAGACTGTAGTGCAATGCTTAACAGGGCACAAGTGACTACATGACACAACTCTGATCTCTCCCAGTTCATAGATCACCTGCAAGTCGAGCAGTGGGATTCTCTATGGCAAACAGCAGAAGAGCTATCCAAACTTTAATTTGCATCACAAAATGAGAATCAGCTCTCAGAAGTTAAAAGCTTTGGCCAATAAAAATGGTGAAGAATGCAATTAAAAATATATATATCCATCTCCAGCTATTTTATATTACTACCTGTGAGCACTTTAAGAATGTTCTCAAATGATCTCATGACAAAACCCCCAATAAATACTGTAGCTAGATACAGCCTCAATGCACCAAGACCCGCTTGCTCCTATATAAATACCACATTTTTTCAGAGGAAAAAAATGACTGACCTTCAACAATGTGGTACACACAAAAGGTTCTTTTCTGTTTAAGGGTGCAGTGCAGAAGACATATCGTGATCGCAAATTTAGTGGAATGTGCTGAATCATATCTGCTAGAAATTTAAAGTCGTCAATATTGCAGACAAAGTAAAGCCCATCAACTTGTGAGAGACTCACAAAAATATCCTGTGAAAATATAACCAAATTAAGAGGATGTTATTAGAGGAGAGGGTTGTTAAACTTTGTATTACCAAATCAAAAAATGATTTTGTGTTTCAAAGGCTAGTTATACTGAAAGAACAGTTAAAAATACGAAATTTGACCACAGTAATAAAAAAGGGGGGAGGAGAGTTTCCCCTACTCTTTCAACAGGATTTTCATTAAAATGTCTAATACAGGATCAGAGCAGAAGACATAACACACTATGCTTTATTTAAGCATTTTCAATTAGTCTCCTAAGCAACAAATACAGTGTTCTGGAAGTGTACGTTTTAGTTACAAAGAACACCATCACAGGAGCCACTTACTACTATGTTTAGAACTTGTTCCAGGTTTGTCACTTAGCATGACCCAAAAAGCTAACTTTACAGCATAAAATTCAATAATTGAGGTATTTTTAGCCCTATTTCAGGAACAGATCTATTTTTAGGAAGAAAGAACTCACAAGAAAAATATGGTATTGCAATAGAGGAGTTCAAAGAATACCTGAAACACATCCAGGGTTTGGAGAAACAGAAGATGCCACCACACACTGTAGGGGGAATTTTTATAGGCCTCCAACATTATTTCTCTAGTGTAAATCTTCGAAAGATTTTTCAAAAGATCTTTAAAGAAACACTGAGCTTCTTAATTAAATATGTCACTGAATACTTAAGAGACCAATAACACTATGAGTTTTTAATCTCAATACTCCTATGCTAGCCCAGATATTCTCAGTGGTAAAATTTTAGATGTGCTGTTACCCTACCAGCCTAAGTCTCCCAGGAGGTCTCCAAGTATAATCTTTTACCTCAAGGTTAGAAATCATACACTTTGCTACATAGCAGCACATCAGCAGAGAACAATAATATGCATTTAAATCCATGGAAGCTGCTAAGAATTTCTCAGTGTACTAAAAACCATGATACTATTTTTTAAATACAGCACTGAAAGCTTAATTTCTACTTTAAAAGCTTCAGGCACTTTTAAAAATTCTACTATCCAGCTCATGATGAGATCAAGTAGATCCCACAAAATCTGTTTTCTCAAAGTTAAGCAGACACTGTTTTACCATCAAGTCCACAGAACCAGGAAAAAAAAAAAAAATCAGGTAGCTCTCAGGAGTACAGAAATCTAACCTGACCAGCCCAGTTTCCCAGGAATTTTCATGTAAATTTATCAAAATTTCAGTCTCTAATATTTTCATCCTCAGACCAAAAAGTCTACATTTAAAATACAGAAAAGGTGAAACGAAAAGGCTGTTGCACTCCTCAACACATGTAAACACATCTATACACTTCAACAACTTATTAGAACACAGAAAAGTTAAGCATGCTAAACGCCTTTGCAGGCACTGCTGTGGTAGAGAGAAGACTCCAACTGACAAATGATGCACACAAGGTTGTTAGGTCCACAAAGTGCAGGTTTGTAGAAAAGCAGTGACTATAAACAATGGTTAATTTTTGAAGCAGAAGCTAATATTTTGATCATTCTTACAATTAGATTGGATAGAGTGGCATCAGGGAGATGATAAGCAAACATTTCTATCTGCTCAGGAGTAGGATGTAGGCCAGCTGCCTAAAGGGAAAATAAAAAAATTTCCATTAATTCTCAATATTATTGTTAAGTTAGTGCATCAGAAACAAAATCTAGAAAGACAAAATGCAAGAAACCAAAGCACCCTACAGAGTACAGTTTATTTAGTACACTTATCTGAAACTTATCTGAAAAGCTCTTTTGTGTTTGAGCTTTTAATTGTTAAAAAAATCAGCTTCAATACAAATGAAATATTGCAAGCCTCCAAATGGAACATATATTCAAAGTCACTCTGGCATGACACAACACACTTTTATTACTAACTTGTAAACAGACACAAGGAAAAACAATTTGGGACCAGAATGTAGTAAAACAGCTCCAGAGCACATCTGTACAAACTGGATACTGAGGCTCTCACCTTCACAGGGCGCACAGGCTCACTCAAAATTTCCTTCAGTTGCCCAAGATCATCATGATGCATTGTAGTGACTTCTCCTTGTTTGAAGGATGAGCCGTAACGCCCAGCTCTGCCTGCGATTTGTAGAGCTTGAGAGGTCGTAATGGAGTCTATTTCCTTTTCTCCCTTCTCATTGATAGTCGGCTTTACTATAGAGTTGAAAATTATTCTTCTTATACACCTGAAATATTTGAACAAAACCAAAGAGGAATCCTTTTTTGCAAATTATTTCCAGTACACAACCTACCACAGAAGAATGAAAGCCTTTTTTTCCCCTCTATAAATTAAGGGACCACAGATAGTACTCATAGACACAGCATATTCAAAAGGGTAGCATAAGACTACTGGTTAGCTGCAGAAGAATCATCATCCCTACACACATCAACCATGTTCTAATAAGGTCCCAATCCATTCACCATCATCTGCCTCAGTAGTTTATAGTGTTGTGACCTCCAGCAACAACATACATCTGAAACTGGACTGAACTTGCTCTACATTTCAGAAATACAAGAGACTGGTACTCTGACAACATAGCACATCTGATTCCAGTGAATCAAAAGGATCTTAACAGGGCCTACTATCACACAGAATTAGGCCAAGTGAGTCATTTAAGTCTTAGAAATAGTTTTAAAATTAAAGCTTAGTTCTATCCAATCAAATTGATCACTACTTCAGAATTAAAATGTATGTCCTGTGTTACCTAGACATAGCAGATATCTAGACAAATTAGTCAAATTGGGTAGAAACAAGTGAGGAAATTAATGCAGGTATCACACCTGTCAAAAAAAAAAAAATCATACTATAACCTGCTCGAAGTACTTACAAATTGAGTCCCATTCCAATTGCATCTGTAGCAACTAAAATTTTGCATGGATCATCAGGATCATTGAATTTCTTTGCCTGTTCAAGTTTTGTTCCTAAAACAGAATGACAAAACACTTCACATAGCAAACTCTACTTACAAAACAAAGACAATGTATCACTAAGCCAACACCTTTATAATAGGCTGAGGAAAAAAAATAATTGGCATTTGATAGGTATTTGGCTGTTGTTGGGGGAAGGGGTCAGGAGGGATGTAAATCTTTCCCAGAGCTGCAGATAGACCTCATTTAATTACATCTACCTGAAGATAAATATTACGTACATAACAAAGGTCTAATCCCAAGATGAAAACATCAGTCAACAAAAGCTGATTACTTTCTCTAACTATATAGAGATGCAAAACTAGGAAAACTTGGACTGCTTCATTTTAAAGTTTTTCTAAGAAAGCAGCAAGAAGTAGAACGTTCCCTTAAAAAGAAGAATGCTTTACCTGGTGGCAGACTGCCATATATGACAGCACATTCTAATCCCCTGGCTTCAATCTGTCGACTGACAGAGTAAATGTCATTCTTACTGAAACAGACGATGCAGTCTCCAGGACGGAGGTTATCTAAAGATTCTAACGCATAATCCAGCACAGTAAGAGGAGTGAGTCTTTTGTAGTTTCGGACCTGGAATCAAAGGATTGTAGACAGTATGTTTTTAAATGAAAAATCCCTGTGGAATATCAGGCAACATGGTTATTATCACAATAGACTGTAACACCGAGGGACCTCTCACAGTCCTGGAGGGATAATTACTGGGGAGAAGGTGACATACACCTTATGCACTTGCATACTTGCAGCAGTTCCCAAGCTGAGAACTATATGGCCTTCTCAAGAAACAGAACTATGTATTTTTTTAACATGTAAACTAGATTCAACAAAAGAAGTATACAGGCTATGGAGCAATTCTATCAAAAAATGAGAGTCTGTTTTCACTCAGTCATCTGAAGGCTGTAACTGGTCCCCTTTCAGAATTACGCACCCCTCCACACACAGATAAATAAAGCTACAGATACTTCACCAGGAAATCACATAGGCTGGACTTTCTTAGGATCAAATTTTATGTTTTTAAGTACTCTTCACAAAGGAATCTTTCCAAGAAAAAAAAAAATTATGACAGTGAACTTGGGTTTCAGAGATCTTTCATTCACTTTCTTCTGGAGGTGCTAGCTCTTTTAACTCCTTTCTTCATCATATGGAGAATAACTATCAACAGATGCAGTAACCTAGGCAAACTTGAGGGCACTATGCCCTCCGGGAAGAACAGAACTGTAAAGAAAGCCCCTAAACAGCTGTAGCATTCCCTGAGGGGAACTCAGCAAAGCATTTATCTTCTTTAAACAAAACAATACCACCATCAAAAAAAACCCCACACCACAAAACAAAACAAAAACAAAACCCCAAAGAAAGCCAAAAAAGAACTTTGCAAACCACTTTGCAACACCTCTTTTGGTTTACAGGAATTGAGAAACATTTTAAGAACTCTTGCAAGAATAACTTTTATCAGTGATACTCCCAAAAGACCCTAAATTTTTGCCTATTTTGCAGCAAGGAGAACCTGATGTTCTGTCTGTAACTTTACAGATTTAAAAAACTTACTTCAACTTCCTCCCCTGTAGTGTACATGAGCTCTGTCACCAAGTCAACAGCAGCAGCTTCTCCACAAACGTGGATTTCTTCCGCACAGAGTCCTGAGCAAGATCCAATGAAATAAAATGCAAAATATTATATATTTATAGACAACAGCAGTTTTAGCTGACTTTTAAGTTACCAAAAATTACATTTTGCTTACTAAACATATCAGTGAGGACTGCATTTCACCTCCTTCAACACCCCAAATCAGTACCTAAATCCTCTCCCACAATACACTATTTCCTTAGAGCTGCTCTTGATCTCATATCAGCAAGTGATGGCCAGAAATCCCTTAGTATGATAATCAGAGCAGCTAATACCTTGTTGCACACTCTCAGCCAAAACAAGAGGTACCCTCAACCCTGAGCAAGGATTTGAGTATGTTTTATTTACCACTAATGTTTTACTAACTCCCAAACCACAGCAAAACTGAAGAGCTTTGTTTTCTGCATGACCTTCTAAAATTACTAATAAATGTCTAATGCAGTCAGAATAGAAAAAAGGGAAAAAAAAATAGGAGGTAGAGGAAGTGTGACACATCATCCTGTTACACTTAGCATCGACAGCAGTCAAGGGATGAGCAACAGGGGGAAATCAGATTCCAAACTTCTGTTCAAAATCTGAGGAAAAATTTGTTTCAAAAATTCCTCTTGAAAAATTCTAGAATTATTAAAAGAAGCATTCTTCTACAAATTTAACAGATCAATGCAGTTTTATAAATGAGCCATTTAAAATTAACACTATAAAATATGTAATGTCCACCACATTGTCATACATTTAACAGTATCTCTTCATAATGAAATCTCTGAAAAATTGTGTTTAATTAAACCAAAAAACACACTTCCAGAAAATAATGAATACAAAAGGACAGCATGGTGTAACAGCACAAAGACTCCATATTATCCAAGGAAGCAAAACTAAAAGAGGCCTCTGTATAACTTAAGAGAATAATTAAAAAAAAAAAAAACATTCATTAAGTAAAACATGACAGGTAACTTGCTGCCATACAGACAAATCCTTTGAGGCAGAGCGTCTAACTCGCTGTGAGAAGACATTTGAAGAAACAATACTTGCTTTTATTTTGCATCACATATTGTAACCACTTATGAATATACTGACCGCTAAGCTTAAATTTAACATGTCAGTTATAGTCACATTAAACTAGTTCATTGTCAACACAAACAAGCTTACCTAGAAGGGCTCTTGTCCAAGCCCACCCTCTGGCAGGATCTCTGATCATCTGAATTTCATCAATCACAGCAACTTCAACTTAAAACAAAAAAGAAAAATATGATGCACCAAGGAAGAGCATGTAGAACAGCAATACAACACAGGAAGGACCACGAAGGCTTTCTAGAACAGGTTGCTTAAATCAAGTTAACCCTCTACCACCAAAAAGCTGCTCTGAGATGATCCAGGTTCTATTAACCGCTCTAATATAGTTCAGAAATTATTCAGATAAGAGCAAAAAGGAATAGCTCAGTTACTTCACAGTCCAAGCAATAATACACATAAAGATACCACAGATACAGCTGAAATAGTTATGTATACATACAGGGTGTATTAGTGCTGCACATTTCAATGGTACAAGCAATATGAGGAGCTTGTCTGGCATCTTCATTGGCATAGACACGCTCTTCTCCTGTCACCAAGTCACATGGCACATTCTAAAGAAATTCAGAAAACTCATGTTAAGTTTCTTTAATAATAGAATCTCCTTTCCAAAGGGGAAAAAAATCAGTTTCTTAAAGTAGATTCTAAAACATTATAACAGAAGCTATCCAGAAAATAACCACTCAGCCTTTTGAGACTTAGGCACTGTACTTAAGTCCTATCAAATGGAAGGGTATAATGAAGAGCATCTGTAATTAGGTGCCCTCCTCTACTCCTGCAGGAGATTACACCTTCCTCTGAGCATTTCAGAGCTGTCACATCTGCAACAAAGGAACTGTCAGGAGAGCTATAGTACAAGGGGCTCATAAAGCAAGGCCCAGCAGTGAAGGAGCCTTGCAAGCTCTAGCCTCCTCCAGTTCATTTGGCGATGGCCCTGTTCAGTGTCTTACCTGCTGCCTTATACTCACACAGCAAGAGTTCATGATGGCCAGCTGTGTGAGACAGCAGGTGCCACCACCCACTGTCAGCTCTACACTCAATGGATCTCAGGCAGATGGCTACTCCTTCCATATCTACAGCCACTTATGGAGCCACACAGGAAGCCCTGTTTAAGCCTCAAGGGCTACATATTATCCATGAGCTGCCAAGTGAGAAGCCCTTACACACACTAAACACATGGGAAAAAACATGCAGTAACTCTACTAACAAGGAACATCACTACATGGTATCCGCATTCACTACGCAGTACACATTACAGATATCTCCTAGGACAAGACAATCTTTCTTACATGTTGCTTTGATAAACCAATAATGGGAATTACACATTCTAAATCATAGAAAATAAAAAAAGAGAAATCACAAGATCATCTGGTAAACACTACTGTACATACACACTATGCTGCATTAACATGTGAGATGTTATTGTAATGCTTCAGAACTGGTCTGGTTCTGTGCAGCTGGAAATACTCTGGTGAGGAGCCTTCAAAAAGATGCTGGACGCAATGAAAATGTACTAATGAAAGCTTCCTCTAGGGACCTGAGATAGGGCACTGCTCTTCAACTCAACACATCTGAAGCTGCAGAATTTTTTATTAGATGGTTGAGTGAAATATATTTAAACATTGAAGCAGACAGTTGAGGGGAGTTAAGCAAGAGTAATTTCTTGCATACAAGCTAAGAAGCCACAGTTTCCATACTGAAAAAGCTAATAGTAGAACCTGGCTAAACTCACAGAGGGAAAAATTACAGGAAAACAAAGGCAGGTTATAGGAATGATTGCCTGGTGTGCTGGGTTACAGTGTAAAATGTGCCAAAAGGAAAAAAAATATTCATCTTCAGGAGCTGTTGAGACCAGGTGCTCCCTGCCACCCCCCTCTGGACTATC